GTTCGGAGATTTCTGGAAATAAAGACATCTATCAACGAAGTGCTTGGAGACCTTAACATTGATTCACTTGCCAATAGCGAATGGATAATGCTTCAGGATTTTGTCAATCTTTTAGAACCTTTTGCCAATGAAACTGATATTCTTCAGACGGATGCACTTTCACTATCCAGTGTTAAACCTTCAATACTTAATTTAGAATGTCACCTTGAGCAATTTGGAGATGCCAAAGATGTAGCAGTTAAAATGCTTGAAGATCTACGCCGTCGTTTTGCCGTTCTTTTGCAGCCAAACGATCCTAATTTTAATCCACTGCCATGTGCCGCATGTCTACTTGACCCCACATGTGCAATAGCTCTTTTAGGTAATGAGCATACACAAATCAGAGAGTGTGCAAAGGAATACATTTTGTCAGAGGCTAAAAAATCGGTGCAACATGATTTACCTTTAGCAAGTGCATCTACTCTTTCTGTTGAGATTGCTCCAGAAATAAATGGATTAACAAAATGGAAATTTTTAGCGGCAAAACAGCGAGTAGAAAAAATAAAGCTTATTCTAGGTAATGAAGCACAAAATGAACTCAACAAATATTTTATTGAAATAAGGAACAGCTCTATGTGCCAAAATGCTTTAAATTTCTGGAAGATGAGACGTGCTGTTTACCCACATATTGCACCATTGGCTGAAGACCTCATTGCAGCTCCTGCAACTCAAGCATATGTTGAAAGACTTTTTTCAATCTGTGGCTTGCTCACAAATGGACGGAGAAATCGAATGTCAGCGTCATTGGAAATGCGAGTTTTCTTAAAACTAAATTCTCATCTAGTCTAGATGATAATCATATAATCACTAGGCCCTTTATTTGTAAAATATATGAGTAATTATTAAAGTCTATACAATAACTATTCATTAGTTTTTATTGTTACCAAATTTGAAGAGTTTTTTTTATACCTAATAATTGAAATTTTTTTAAGTTTTAGAGCAATAAGGACAGGTTGTTGTTGTGTTTTTTATTAAGGGCGGTGGGCGGGGCTCTAAACTTCTAGCCATGGGACTGGGTGTATTACATTTAATTAAGTTCTCATTTTTTTGTTTGTTTATAGAACTAAGACTTACTTCTTTTAATTATATATGCCTATATTATTTATAAATTATACTAAATTATAATTAGATGAGATAAAAAATTTATACGACAAACGAAAATTGAACTAAATAAAAACTAAAACTAAAATTATTTTAAGATGAACTGAATAAAAACTAGAACTAAATTTATTTACTGAACTGAATAAGAACTAGAACTAAAACCTTTGCCTCTAAACTGAATAAAAACTAAAACTAAAATTATTTTCCGAACAAAAATATCACTGTGTTGGAGACAGCTTCAATGCATTATCTGAAGCGTGTTTTGGTACAAAGTAAATTGATTTCATTTTCTAATTGCAATATATTACCAATTCCTATGCCAGAAATTTTGAACAAATATTTGTATCAGAAAATATGATCTGTCAAACTATGTCGCAATAAATAATCTTTTTTAATATCAAAAGCAATTAAATTTTAAATTAAGTGTTTTTAAATTTAAAAACAATAATAAATTATATGTGTAAAATGCAAAACATTTAGTATTTAGTTGAGAATTAAAAGTTAATTTACTAAAGTATTAGCATTGAAATTTAATTGCTGTATTATTATGTGATTTACTTGCATATTAAATACTAAAATGTATCAAAAATTAAAGATTTAATTTTAATAAAACAATAATAATAATACTTTTTGTAAAGTGCACGATAAGCTCCATGGATCCAATTTTGTATAACGCTATACGTTCCATTGAACTTCAGGGTGATACCGTGAAAGCGCAATAACCGTTAAAGTTACCGAATAAAGATAAAACTGGATTGTGTTAGTGTACTGTAAAATTTCAATAAAATAACTTAAATTTCACGGTAAAGTTTTACAGTGTGAGTAATAGGGTGGGCCGAAAGTTTTTCTTCTGATTTTTGATTTGCTATACCGCGGAAAACATGTCCCATGGGTATCTATGAAAAATGCAAAAAAATAACACAAATATTTTACGTTTGGAGCTAGCACATCGTACTTGAATATTTGAATAAATAACTCGCTTTTTATCATTTTTGTAATAAAGTTCGCGTTAGAGTATTCCCAAAATTGTTGTGTTTCTCGCCACAACAACTTGTTTTGATATAACTTTGTTTTGATTATTTAATAATATTAACCAATCTGTCATGGCTGTTTTTAAAAAAGTTATTTGTAGCGAATTTAACTTCCCGATTTTTGGTCATTCACTTAATTTATCTGTAAATTATACTTATGAAGAAGTAAATTTATACTTATGAAGAAGTTTTCAAGTAATGCTTTAATGAAAATTACAAACTTGAAAATTAGCCTTGAAATCAAACAATATGCCAGTTAAGTTTTCTTATGTTTCAAATTGTGTCGCACAATAAGTTAAATCAGTGTTTGATAAACCTTTAATACCCACAATAACGATTTACAGAGATGTCCAACTAACAAATGGATGCTATGACAGTTATCGCAATCATCTGAAATCCTTCAATCTTATGAAATCCTTCAAAGAGTTAATGATTTTTAAAAAAATCATTGTTATTGTTCGATGTCTCGGCGTGTAAGTATAAAATACCATTAGACTGCAAATCTAAAATGGTTACAGAAATTTTTGAATGCGAGAGCACTGTTTCAATTATCTGTAAGTGTTAAAAAGAAAAAAAATCCCAATCATTGAACTAAAATTTTTGCACTTCCAAAGAATGCATGGTATTGGTAAAATTGGAAGTGTTGACGTAAAAACAAAATTACACAAAGACACGATAGGAAATTTGCTTAACTTAAAAGAACTCTGCCCGCTAATAATCTATTACTGCAACATTCATGCTCAAACCATTTAGATGAAACTTTAAAGTAAAAAGAGTTTGGTAGTGATACCTCCGTAGCCATTGAAGAAGTCATCGATGAAGAATTAGAAGAATTTAAGCTAACTAAGCCTAAACGCAGATGCCCATTACAATGAAAAATGCAACTGCTCTGACTAGCGATCACTACAGATTATCAGACAGAACAACGGCAGGTATTGCCTCAAGTGTTTTGCAAGATTTTGGTATCGTAACCAATTATGATCACAGTCTTGTTGTTGAAAAAAATAGAAGAGCAAAAGTGGGTAACCGTTAACAACTTCAAATGCAGAGCAAGGAAAAATATAACCTACTTCAAGGGCTGTGTTTTGATGGGAGGAAGGACAAAACTCTAGTGGTTGAAAAACTTAAATTAAAATGGTTTTACCATGGTATTTACCAGTGGTAAAATTTGTCAGTGTCGATTGTGAAACTTCAGAAATTGACCGCAAAATATTAAGCAAAAATCAGGAGTTCTTGTTGGATATAAGTTCTGCTATTAAATCAGGCAGTTGTTCTGAAGATTTATCTGTTCGTGAACCTGGAACAATTTCACACTTAAGGTGGTTAAAAACTGTAAACAGAGTTTTACGATTGTATTTGAGCCTTGAAACACCAACAGAGGAGCACAAAATCTTAGTTTCTTTTCTTTTAAAATCATGTCCCTCAATGGTTTCATATAAAAAAAAGTAAATACTTTACAAATGGAGCTAAACATGTATTTTAAATAATAAAATTGTCAAGATTCCTGCCCAATGATTTTCTAAAAGTAATAGACCCAGTAATTAAGTAAAACGCTTTTTTTGCACATTCAGAAAACTTGCTTTTAACAATTGTAGTAGACAAACGGATTCATATTAGGGAATTGGGTATTTGAAAAATTATAAAGGCAAGAAGCCTAGCTTCTCAACGAAAGGTTATCAGGAGTTTTCAACCACCCAAAATTAGTTTCCTTGCTACCGACTATACAGAGATGATTGACTAGAATACAACTACGTTTTTGCCGTCACCTTTGCTGCGAAGAATCTCAGATAAAGATATTTGGTCAAAGATCCAATCAGGTAAAACATATTTTAAACTACCGACAAAAATTAGCAAAAAGTAAAGGAATATATTTCTTTATAAAACTTTTAGTCGAAAAGATAATTTTTTAATAAAAGAAAAGATTTCTTATTTAACCCTTCCATACCTTTTTCTGCTTAAATTGTCTTTAGATATTTGTTAAAGAATTCTTTCAATTTCATTTCATTTGTCAGAAAATTATAAAAAGGAAAAATTTGTTTGGTCATTTAAGCGAGATGTGCTTGCTCCAGACGTAAAGTATTAATTTTTTTTTTTTTTTTTTGCATTGTCCTTAGATGCCCTAAAGACAAGTTTTTTTAGGTAAAAGCGAGTCAAAAATTAGAAAAAAAAATTTTTTCCCCGCCCTAGTGAGTAATACTGAAATTTTTTTAGTATTTTTAAGTTTTATTCTGAGTTTACTCAATTATTTTATTGTGATGTTGCTTTAAGAAATTTAATAAGAAAGTATATTGATTGAAGTTTTAATAATGAAATAAATTCTTTTTCCAAAGAAATATGTAGTAAAAAAAACAAAAGCTAACCAACGCATTAAAGGCTGCAAACATGGTAGTAAACGTTGACCTAAAAATATTTTAAATATAAATACATATCCTAATATTCTTTGTTTCTATACGTTATTATTAACAATAAAAATCCCGAAAATTTAATTGGTTATAATTTTTTCTACAACAATTATAAAAACATTTACAATTTTTTAATTATAAAAAACATCATCATTTTAGACTTCTTCCTGTAACTCTAAAAAAAAACATACATGAAATTAAAAATAAGGCACGTAATTTTAAATTAAAAAGAATTTTTAAACCTTAAAAAGAAAACACCGATTGCCAAGGTGCCAGCAAAAGATTATGTCTAATGCGAACCGTTAAGAAGGAAAACAATAAAAAGTATATTCTTATATAGTAAAGAAGTAATTAAAAATAATAAGAATTTTAAATATGAAATAATCACAACTTAATAAAATAATCAAGGAAACTAACTATTTTTTTAATGGCAGTACAATGCACCCTCTGATGATGTTTTGCCATCTAAACAATTATCACAAGCGTCTTGACCAGCAAGAGGTTTAAATTTGTTCTTAGGACATGGAGTACAACCAAATTTATTCGAATTATTAGGTTCATATCCAGCTGGACATTTTTCACAAAAATAACCACTAAGTCGTGGTGAAGATCCTTGAGGACAAACTTGGCAAGGACTTAAAAGCGGAGACTTTTTTAATAATATTTGATCTACAAACATTCCATTATCACTGCAACACTCTTCAACGCTTGATTGGTCAACACTTTTGCCAAGACTATACTTTGGTTTGCTCTGCAATTTAGTTTGAAAGCAAAATTCTGCTGATGCTCGAAGAAACAATTTAGTTTCAGAATGAATTTTAGGTAAAATTTGATTTGAGCGTAGTTCTACGCGCCATTTTGAACCATCTAATCGAGGAAGTAATTCGCCGTTTATTACACCATCTACATCTAAACAAAAAGTCCCAGCTTTTTTATTACAAAATTCAATTGTGTATGGATTGTATAGGGAACATTTTGGCTGATTTTCTGTGTACTGGTTTTTTACTATGAGACCACCTTCAAACATGTATGTTTTTTCTTGCAATTGATTATCCAATAAAGTTAGTTTTATATTAACTTCGTGAGAAAAATTGAGAGCTGGAGGAAGATGTATATTTAGTTTCTTTAAAAAAAATGGACCTTGCTCGTGTTCAGAAATCCATTTGTTTTCCACAAGCCAATCTTTATTTGGGATATTTAAATATGCATACCCTTTTGTAAACTCAGCATCTGCATCGTATAAAGTTGAAAGATCAATAGTATTATTTTCACCAGTCATAGTTGCTGGAATCAGAAATTCGCCGTTTTTGGTAAAACAGTTCCGACATTGACACATTGCAGTTGGAACTGTATTGATCAAAAGTCCTGGATCACCACTCGGATTTTCAAGTAAATCTGTGCACACTGGCTTTTCGACGCCATGATTCATGTATGTCAAGTAGTTACATGCATTTTTAATAATTATAATTTTATGATACCTAATAAGATGAAGAGCTTCATATTTGGTAAGAAGTTTATAAAGCTGATTACTAGACGAACCTTTTATCGAAGTGGAAAGCTTGTTTGATGCATCTTTAGCAATCGTAGCTCTCACAAATTTAGAAAAACTCTCCATTATTGTCTCCTCTTGAGTTGCTACTTCCTGATACAAAGATATCAATACTGGAGCAGTCACCTTAGTGTTGGGACATATTCCTTTATTTCCCGCAATACCAGCTGCAACTGTTCCAGATTCAGTATCAGGATTTTCAATTACTTCACAAAATTTCTCAATCATTTGACTTAAAATAGCGTCAAATTCACTAATATCACTTTGAGTAATTGCTGGTGAATATTTATCTGCGTGTTCATAAAATTTATGGAGCTGCTCATTTGTAAAGTCTATATTTTTCTCAATAGTTTCAACAAACTGTCGAATTGTTTCAAATGTTTCCTTATTTTTATTTACTTTGATAGAAATTTGTTTTACAAGATTTTCCAACTTTGGAATAAAGTTTGACTTGAGGTAGTCTACTTGTTTAATAAGTACTGCTTGTTTTGCCACCTCACTCAAAGCCTCTTTTATGTCAACTGCTGATGCTTCACCTCCAGTTAACCATTTTATAGGATTAATGGCTCCCACAACACGTAGAGCAAGAACGGCAACTTTAGATACCATATCACTTGCTGTAACACCTAATGCAAATTTTATTATGGAACTTAATTGATCTGAAAGTTTTAACGACGTATCTTCACATCGAGATTTTAATTCAAACCAAGTTTTCATTGCGCTTTCTTTATCTGACTTTGCTGTCTGCTCGTCAAATTGAGCGAGTCTACTGAAGTAATCACCTAATTCAGTTGTGATAGTTTGACTGACAGAGTCAATTTCATTTTTAATTTTTTCAAAGTTTCCTTTGAGAAAGTTATAATTAAGAAGGCCTAAGTGGTTAATATCACTATACAAGATAATATTGTTTTGCATTCCCAGTTTGGTAAAATGTTTAATATCGTTCAAAAATGCTCGAACTTTACAAAACTCTGGATAAACTGGGTTCGGAGTGCTGCAATTCCAACTTCGGCACTCTGCAGTTAATTCACTAATTGCTGCTTCCACTGATTGGTAAACGTCAACAACTGAGCCGTCAACTTTTATTTTTTTAACAATAGCCATTAATTTCAACGGTGAACAACGAGCGCACTGAACACTTGCAACGTTTGTTGAACATGATTTTGCAACTTTTACCTGACAATTTGTCAACGAACTCTCTTGTCCGTTACATTCAATTGATGTCAAAAAAAGGTGAGCTGATTTTTGCCCAACATTTATTTGGTGTTCGTAAACAGGAACAGGAATCTTGAATTCTGCCCCGTATAAGTGGTTACAAACTACTTGAGCTGCCTTAACATTCCATCCATCGGAGCATATCGGAATATCTCCAAAAAGTACAGTACCTTCATTTTTACTACTTCCAGAATTAAATGGTGCTAATTTCAACGAATTTGGTGCCAAGCATACAACGGCTGCCCCTTCAGTTGGGCCACAATTATGATTTGTTAAATGTTTGCAGTGTCTAAGACTGGACTCTCCACCTCCACAATTAACGTCATCCATAAAAAAATTTATTGAAACTTGTTCATTTCCCCATCCTATTGCAAGTGTACCAGAAGGAAAGTTCAAGCTTCTGCAGACAACTTGTGCGTTTTGGTTTGTCCAGTTATCATCACATATTGGCCGACCAAATATTTCCACAGTTCCATAATAACTAGTATCTGAGAATATAATAAAATTAAACGCAATAAAACCTAAAATTAACTGATAATAATAAAAATAAATAATTTATTGGATTATTTAATCCTAATAATATTTACACAATTTAATTATAAGTTTTTTTCTAGTTTATTAAATGAAAAAATTCTAACATTATTTTGATAAAAATAATTTTATGCAAGTAACTCTTTTTTTTAACAAACCCCACACACAAACGCACGCATGTAAAGTGCTTAAAGTTAAATGAAATGAAGTGGGATTTATCTCCATCAATTTTTTGTAAACTAAAAACCATCTTACCTATTTTGTTTATCTTAATTTATCAATGATCATATTGAATGGAATCTTAGAGTTCTTAAAAACATTACTAGTTTTAAAATCATCAATAGTTTTATTATTTTATTAAAACTTATAATTAAATTAATTAAATTAATTAATTTTAATTAAATTAATTAAAAAATTTTAGTATTTTATTAAAACAGCAATACCGTTTTGAAATTATTAATTAAACTGCTTAATTAATACGTATACATTGATGTATAAACATAAATATCTGAACACCAAATCATCTATAAAACGAATGGATACTTTATTTTTTTTTTATTTTTTTTTTTTGCTCTCCACCTGATATTTATAAAACTAAAATCAGAATTCCCCATAATTATACCAACATGCATGCATAATTATACCAACATGCATGCATAATTATACCAACATGCATGCATATGTACATTAAACAAAAAAAAATTGAGGAAGTATGAATAAAGAGTTATAAAAATAAAATTATAAATAAAGAAAGTTAAAAAAGTTAAACAATAAAAATGAAATAATTAAACTTTTTGGAGGCCTTTTTATGGGTTAGAGCCCATAAAATGACTTAATAAAAAAAAAAAGGTCTTCTAAAATATTTGGGGGCCCCTAAATTTGCGGGGCCCGGGGCTATAGCCCCAACTAACCCCCCTTTGATACCCGGCACTATTTTTAAGTTATTTTCTTATAAACTTTTATGAATAAGGTACATTTTTAAAGTGCCATTGCATCCTAAAAAATACAAAACGGTTTCGTGCACACTAATTTTTGGCTTTAAAATACGTTACTCTCATTACTTTCAAATTATCTAAAGAGTGATTATTTGAAAGTAACGAGAGTAACGAATAATTATAAAATTAATTATTTGTTACTCTCATTACTTTCAAATTATCTTGGAAAATACTTTCAAATTATTTCATTACTTTCAAATTATCTTGAATCTTATTAACATGGAAGTGTACGCTATTTAAAAAAATTAACTTACATTGGTTAGCATATTTTAGCCTTGTGCTGCTTCTGATTTGATCCTCTGTATATTTTGTAATACAACCAATTTCATCTTGCCAATTTCCGCAATTATTATCTGAGTCACATCTTTGGGAATGATATGCACATGCTCTTCCGTTTTTGCAATGAAATTCTTTACATGGGTCAGGACAATTACTTAAATCATTACCACATTCATAAGTATAACTTCCACTTCTAGGTTTGCATGTACATACTTGATTCTCCCTACGGAGATAAAAAAATATAACAAAATGCAAAATAGAAGTCGCTCTTAAATAATAGTTTTCATATACTTTTATTATCTGTTTTTTAAAAAACTATATAAAAAACAGGCATACATACACAAAGTTTAACATTTGCTAAATCTTTGAAATATTGATACCAACTACAGCAAACATTCTATTACGGAATTTAAGTAGACCTATATAGTCAGTTTTACTAATCGTTTGTTTGACGACTAGCCACTATATCAAATGTAAGTAAGTTATCGGCTAGCCACTTATAAAGAATGTCACTAATGGCCAACTTATAACCGATGAACAAAACTCTAATAAACCGCCCGAAATGCTTATATAGGTCCATTGGGAATCAACTACAGCTTAAATCAAAATTTTTCATTACAATGTTAACAATCTAAAACTTAGCTTTTAAATAAAACAGCTCAAAATAAAATAAAATAAATAAATAGATGAAAACTTTTTTTTTTTGTTTTATAAAACTATTTTTGCTTGTGTTTAAAAAAAAAATTTTTATACAAAATTAAAGACTTTTATAAAGTCTCTTTTTAAACTTTTTTAGAGCTCGGCTTAGTTTGCTTCAAACTGTTTTTAATGAAATTAAAAAACGTCCCCAATATTAGGAATGTACCAAAGCTTTGGCTTCTGCAGTTTTGTAATGTAAAATAATTTTATTGTCTACAATAAAATTGCTTTACTTTACAACTCTATTACTTGTAATTTGCTCCTTTACTTTGATTCCTTGACGTATGCCACAGCATACATAGTTTAAATTGCGACGTGCCGCAAACTATATTGTTAATTTTTTTAATTAAAATTAATAAGTGTTTTTTATATTTAATTTAAGTTCTATGTATAATTTTTTTACTGAAATCTATTTTCACTATAATTTGTATTTAGTTTTTTTGCACTTGAAACGTACGCTAGAAAATTTATTTCTTATCACCACTCAAAAACATGAATAATTCATGGTTTTAAAAGTAGAGAAGCAGATAATCTACAGAAAATCAATGGCAGCATGCTAAAATAATTGTATGCATACTAAAACACTTTAAAGCGCTACGAAATGTAAGAGTGCAGACACATCAGAGATCATATCGTTTCTTGACTATGCTTGGGACAAATCAACTGAAATCAAAACTGTTGATGAACTTAAAAGATTTTTAAAATCATTTTCATTAATACAATGATAATGTTTGTCTTAAAAAATCAATGGTGCCCAAACCCTGTTTCAAATAAAAAATTTGAAAGAAACAGACCATTGTATGCTTAAAGAAATTTTATATCAAGGCTACAATCGCTTTTATTTAGAGAATTGATACTCTAAATGATAGCGGTAGTACTCTTACATAAAACTTAAAATATAAAATTTGCTTGCTTGTTGTAAATGATCGTTTACAACAAGCAAAGGAAGTTGATTTTGTTAAAGACTCTGACCGTGATGGTCAAATCAAAAAAAAAAAAAAACATGCATGAGGATAATCAGCTTTTTAGACCAAATTTGTGTATAAGTGAGAATGCTTCATAGAAATGTGTATAAATAAGAATGCTTCACAGAAATGTGTATAAATGAGAATGCTTCACAGAAATGTGTATAAATGAGAATGCTTCACAGAAATGTGTATAAATGAGAATGCTTCACAGAAATGTGTATAAAGGAGAATGCTTAACAGAAATGTGTATAAAGGAGAATGCTTCACAGAAATGTGTATAAATGAGAATGCTTCACAGAAATGTGTATAAATGAGAATGCTTCACAGAAATGTGTATAAATGAGAATGCTTCACAGAAATGTGAAGCATTCTCATTTATACACAAATTAACTTTCAAATAAATAATTTTATTGCACTTAGCCCTGTTACTAGAAATTTATTTACAATTTTATTTGCACACCAGAATTGCCTGAAGACAAAATTATATTATATTTATATTATAGAAAGATTACTGCGAGCAGACTCAAGCTATATACAGGCAAGCCGTGTTTTCCTGTAGTTACGGGTCTGGTTGTATTTAATATTTTTAATTTTCCATGCACAGCATAATTATTTATCAACTATAAATTTTTATTCTTTATTATTTATAAGTTGAATAAGGGTATTCTTTTTTTCCTTATTTGATTAAAAATTTAAAATACAAGTTTAAATTTTAAATTGATTCATAGCTTTAATTCAACATGGAGGAAGTCAACTTCTACTTTAGCCTATCAACATTACCAAAAAATAAATGTCCGGATAAATAACGAATAAGTGGTCGGGTGTTTATAATTACACCAGCTCCTATAAAGACACTAATAAGTGGGATTTGGCAAGGTTCTCAATTAAAATATTGTGCGCACCTCCGTTAAGAGTGAACCACTGTTCAGAACAACGGGAAAAATATTTTAACTCAAAAAAAAATAGTCTGTTGCCTGAGCATAGAGAACAGATTACGTTTTTAAATTATAATTTGCCTGATTTCTAACAATAAATAATTAATTTAAACGCAATAAACTAATAAATATGATAAAAATAACTTTCCTTATTTGTAATTAGTAATTTTATAAATAGTAATTTTGTTATACACCAAAGTACAAACAAAATGTAAACTAAAACATTGTTTATAATTTAATTTTAAATTTTAGACTTGATTAAGTTGACAAAAAGCTAAATTAGTTTTATAATTCGCACCCTAATTCAACTACTAGTAATTACTAATTAGCTAGTAATCTTTTTTTTCTTATAACATTAAACTTGTTCAAACAAGGCATAGGTACCATCCTAAAATCCTATGATGTTGTGTAATTAAAAAAAACCTTTATGATTTGCTATAGTAAAATACCTTGTGCGCTAAAATACTTGTAATTGCAGTACATATATTTTACAATATGCAGTACATAAAATAGTTGGAATAAAATCTTAAAACATTTTTAAGCAGTTAGTATTATCCCTAGATAGTTAAATCTGCAAAACAACAAATTTTACCTATATAAGTGCAAATACGAAGTTACTCGGCTTCCGCAGAGTGACTTTGGCCGAAGCTGCGGCTGCGGCAAAATCTTAGCTTCGGTACTTCCCTACTTAATATGGAAGTGATTATAGATCAAAAGAGCTTTAAACTTGTTTAAAGTGTTCTAACCAATAAGTTTCCATGGCTTGTTGTAGCTCTCTTTCTTCTATTTCCTTTATAAATATTATATTCTTTAATGTCTTTAAAGCACCGAGCCAAATCCTTACTTAATGATAGCATTCAGGAACTTGAGATTTCATAGGTCCGGAAAATAAAGCTAGGATTCCATAATATATCTCAACTAAATTGAATTAAATCATATAACATAAAATGTCTTGATTGGATATTTTGAAATAAATTTAAAATGTTATCTTGTATTTCGCTGTAAGATGTTTTCCTTTTAAACAATCTAAATGTTTATCATGCAAACAAGATATTTTACTAATATATCTTCATTGTTTAAAATAATAACCAACTGACAGCGATTTCTTAAAAAATGACAATAACTATATTGAGCACAAGTTTTCAAGTTTATGTTTTAAGGAACCAAAAATCAATAAATATTTAAAATCCATTAATTTTTGTATCCGTTGACACAATTACATCATATACAACAAAAAAAATATATATGTTTTATTGGATATTATATACTGTAAACATAAACGTATTATATACGGTAAATATAAACGTGAACATGTAAAACCTCTTATGAGACATATGAAAATGATGGATATATTTGAAATAAATATTTATCAGCATCTAATTTTTATGTATAGATACTATAACAACCTCTTGCCAGAAAACTTCAAAAATAAGTTTGAAATAAATTCAAATAAAAAGTATGGTCTAAGATCAAATAGAAATAAAAACTTTAAATTGCCTCGGAAATGTAATAAACTCTCAGAATTTTGTATATCTTATCGAGGACCTAAATTATGGAATGACTGTCAAAAGGAATTTAAGTTTACGGTGAAGTTTAAGTTTCAATTAAAAAAAAAAAAAAATTAATTTGAATTTAAGATAAAGTTTTTTCTTTTTACTTTTTTGATTAATTTAACCTTGTCTTGACTTTTTAATGATAACATGGTTATTATTATATTTTTATACGAGCTAATTATTCTTGCGTTGTCTTATTTAAACTTGTACCTAGGGGTTCTATGAAAAGATTGCGATAACGTAATGTTATCCTTATCTTCTTAAGCCCCTATCTGATTTAACTTAATTTTGCTGTAATGTGTATACTTTTATTTTTATTTTATGAGATTCCATATGTATACGTGCATTGTAATAATATTATATGATGTTAATCAGGAAAAAAAATAAAAAAATAAAAAAATAAAAAAATAACAAAAAAAAAGGATAAAAAATATATGTATATAAATACCTTTACATTTTGGTTTCTTATATATATATAAACATATATATATATATATATATATATATATATATATATATATATATATATATATATATATATATATATATATATATATATATATATATATATATATATATATATATAAATTAGTAGAAAATCACTTAGCAAAATTTTTTCTAATTTAACACTGTGTTTCATCAATAAAGACCCATCAGAAAACTCAAAGAAAGATTTCTGATGAGTCTTTATTGATGAAACACAGTGTTAAATAAGAAAAAATTTTGCTAAGTGATTTTCTACTAATTTGTAATTGCTCTGTTCTTTTAAAAACATTGAGCACTCTTTTTGTATAATACATTTTAAATTGTTTAAATATATATATATATAAATATATATAAATATATATATATATATATATATATATATATATATATATATATATATATATATATATATATGTATATATATATATATATAAACTTTGCTAAGTGATTTTCTACTAATTTGTAATTGCTCTGTTCTTTTAAGAACATTGAGCACTCTTTTTGTAAAATACATTTTAAATTGTTTAAATATATATATATATATATATATATATATATATATATATATATATATATATATACATAGTATATATATATATATATATATATATATATATATATATATATATATATATATATATATATATATATATATATATATATATTTATATATATATATATATATATATATATATATATATATTTATATATATATATATATATATATATATATATATATATATATACACATAAATATATGTATGTATATATATATATATATATATATATATATATATATATATATATATATACATAGTATATATATATATATATATATATATATATATATATATATATATATATATATATATATATATATACATATATATATATATATATATATATATATATATATATATATATATATATATATATATATATATATATATATATATATATATATATATATATATAGAGAGAGAGAGAGAGAGAGAGAGAGAGAGAGATTTTTTAATTAAAATTAGGGCTGTACCGGATTAAATTTTTCTAAATCAGGCCGGAGCCGGATTTGCCGGATTTCTACTAACAGATCAAGCCCGAATCGGAACCGGAGCCGGTTCTGATTCCGATTCACCTGCCAGTGTTGCCTGTAATGAGAAGAGTTTAGTTTAAAATAATGGATCAACCAGTGTCACCACTATATAAAAAGGTTTCTCCTCAATGCTTTTAAAACGCTCATCTAATGAACTGATTAAAATTAACTTAATAGTCTCTACACCTGCATTATTGCAGAATATCGTGCGTTTTCCGTTCAGAATTTTTTGTTGCGTTTTTATTTGAAATTAGACTAAGCTAATTAAATTGTAAAGAAATGTAAGTACGGATACCAAAACAAACATGAAGTTAATAGGCTATAGAATTACTAAAAACATTGATTTGTAAAAATAAAATATTAACTATAAAGTTATATGCTATCACGGGCGAGAAAGATGTAATAAATATCTGACCAAAATTCATAAATCCGGCCAAAATTATGCCGGATTTGTTAACATTTTGCCGGAGCCGGATTTGGGCCGGATTTTTAAAATAGCCGGATTTCGGCTGTAGCAGGAGCCGGAGCCGAAATTCGGTACAGCCCTTATAAAAATATTACTATAATAATTTTTTCGTTAAAAAATATACTCCTAATAAACGTCGTGACGTTCAAAAACAATTGCAAAACTGTTACTATTTGCTTGCGTTTAGGTTGTTTAGGGCCCTTTTAAAGTTTTAAGGTAGTTTGACTTTATTTACCTAGCCATTTCTTTTTAATAATTTTTTTTTGAAAAGTTGTTGTCTTAACTGAATAATACTTAGCAAAAGTTGTGCAAAGTTAAAAAAATTAATAATGACGACAATATGGAAGTTGACTTAAATTATCCTTTAACTAAAAGTCAAAAAGAAGTCACCGCCATATTGTAAAACAACGTTTTTAAATTATCCCGCGAGAACTGAACGACAAATTATTACGTCACCCGCAGATAATCAGAGTAAACCCGAGACTGGCCTTAAACAACTTGAGCGTGGTTTGGTTTTTTACTCTTTGGGCTCGTAGTTGTCAAGCAAGAACTTGTTTTCGTGACGGCACTTAGATATTGTTTCTGTTGTTTTATTTAACAATTCTAGCGTACCTTTGTATGATATTATGCAAAGTTTTTCATGTAGGCAAAGCAAGCATTTTTTTGTTACGTTGCTGTAGGCGGGGACTTGTTTAATTATTGAACAAGTAAATTATTAACCTGATCAATAACCCTATATATATATATATATATATATATATATATATATATATATATATATATATATATATATATATATATATATATATATATATATATATATATATATATATATTTATATATACTTACCATGCGTTTGCGTCAACAAAGAGAATAGAGCAATATAGATTAAGTAAAAGTACTAATAAATATAATGAGTTAAAACACGAGAGAAACACAAACATAAAATATGCACCAAAAAATTTTTTACCTTATTGAAACTTCACACATTGCAATATTAACTCTATCCCAACCAACAACCTCAGAAATTTCAGCTCTCTCTTCAAATGAACATTGTGTATTACCGCAGCATTCACTTCTTATTTGACTTTCGGGACTTTCTCGTTTGTTTCTTAAGAATGATAAGGCGTTGTTTGTTTTTAATAGAACGTTTGATAATGGCTAAAAAAAAAAACACGCGTTAAAAACAAAAATTAGCTTTATTTGATTTTTTTCAAAAATTAATGAGTGCAAGAAGATTCACCGGTTTGTAACTAATATTTTTCTATTTTACTGTTTTTATGAAAAAAGAAAATTAAATGTGCATACATTGACGGGTTACTTTGATCAAAAGTAATTTGTCTTGAGTCATAATTATTGCCTTAAAAATGGTTAGATAACTATTTTAAGATAATGGTCTTCAAAAATGTAGGTATTCTACCGTTTTGCAGATTGCGTTTTACCCAGTGACGGATCCAAGAACTCTTGGTGGGAGAAGGAAGGGGAATGTTAAATTATTTTTGTATTTTATATCAAATTTGCGTCTCCTAAAAAAAAGAGTCTTTCATTTGTAAGATATTTTAGGACTTCCAGATTCTACTGGCGGAAGGGGGGTGTATAACCCGTCCCCCTGGAACGTCACTGGTTACCTTTTTTCCCAAATTTAATCCTTGTAGTGTTTTCTCATTTTAATTATTTTATTTGAGTATATAAAAAGGAAAAGGAAGTTAAAAAGCTTATCAAATAGTATTATAAAGAATATTTCTTACTTTAGTTGCATCTCCTCTCGCTAATGTTGATATTATTGATGTGAGAAGCAAAACAATCCAACTCATTGCGTGCAGGATTTTTTGAGTTTTTTAAGTTATCGTTATATTTCATTAAAGTAAACTGCAAAAATTCAAGTTAACTACTTTTTTTTAATAAGACCATTTGATGAGACCCTTTTAAATTCTTTTATTTTATTGACACACCTGTTAATAAATGTTTGTTGATGATAAAAAAACAAATTGTAACAACAATGTTAATAAATGTTTGTTGATGATAAAAAAATAAATTGTAACAACAATGTTGCTTAATTGTTTTTGAAAAGTTACCAAACATAAAAGTTACATAATCTAACATTTTCTTGCATAATTGGTATATCCTAACAAACAAACGTAATAAATTAATTAATATATTAAACTTTTACCCAATAATCTTTAATGGTGGGCTGGTGTTAAGTTAAATTCTTAATAGTTTTTTACCACATTTTTTTTAACACGTGTTGGTCGGCAAACAATTTATTAATTAATTCGCAAATTTTAAACAATTTTAACTATAAATATATTATTTGATTTGTATATTTTAAGCAATTTTAAATGTAAATTTGTAAATTGGTTTGTAAATTTTGATATATCCTCCGACTACAACAACATAATAATGCAGTTAAAAACAAAAACTTGACCACTTAAGCAAATATTTTTCAGTAATAGGCAAAACACTTTTTTTATTAAATTAGGCACAAAATTATGAGTTCTTTATAAGAAAATTTTGACTTCTTTATAAGTTTGCTCACTATTTTTATAAATTCTTTATAAAAATAGTAAGCAAACCTTTAGAGACTACTTCTATGACAGTTTTATTAGTTTTACTCCTAAACACATCCCAAGCCATGGTAACCAATGTAACTAACTAACAACCAAGGTAAACTAAGTTGTAAGTAAGATAGAAAAAAACCATTTCAATTTATTTTAAAAAAAAACTGTCTATAAATATTAAAATTAACTCGTTTATTTTTTTACTCAGTTTGAAAGGCTTTAGCTAACTAGATTTATTAAAATTCTAAAACAAACAATTTTTAAGAGGGACAAAATATCGAAAAGTTAAATTTCCATTTTATCAAGTTCAAAACAAATTAATCTGAAATTCTCAACTAATTAAATCAAAATAGCTCCTTATATAATGTATTCTGTTATAAGAAGCTTAAATAAAATTGAAATTTTTGATTATTTAAGATTGTACGAGATGTTGTTAAAAACGTTTGTTTTTGATTCCTTCGCCAACGAAGCATGCATTACAATGTTCGTGTTGGCAGCTTACATTATACAAAAGAAACGAGCGACAAAAAGTTATTTATCATAAAAATATCTCAATTTTTATAAATTTTTCCAACTATTATATGTGAATAATTTATTTGTAAATCAAATTTAAATAGTTTATTTAAAATGATAGATCTCACTTATTACAAATCGAAAGTTATATTCTACGTTAAATTTCGAAAAGGAACCTATGCATAAAACTTTTTTAATAAAAAAAATTTTTTATTAAATTTTTTGATTATAATTTTTTTTTATTAAAAAATTATAATCAAAAAATGAAACTAAATTTTAAAAAATCATTTTTCTTTATTTATTTAAACCTTATATAATTGAACAGCTATGGAGCAGTGGTCAGGGCTCCTGTTCTAGAATTAAAAAATCCTATTCTCGATGTCAGCTTTAGTTGTAGTTAAGACAATATATATTACAACAAATTAGTTAACAAGTTTTAGCTAAGTACAAATATTTTTAAAGGCCATCAACTTGACGAATATCTTGTAACGATGGATTCATTTGTTTAGCTGTATAAATACATTTGCTCAATTAATAAAAAGCCATTGACAATAAACATGTTAACTCATAACATTTACAACTGTCAGTTATATTAATTTTGTTTTGCTGCATAAATATATCCATCACATTGGTTTATAAATAAGGAAAGTAGTAAATTAATAAGAAAAAATTAAATGTTTAAAAAAAGATAACTTAAAAGAAAACCCATAAAAATCGATGAACAAAAAACTATATTAAAACAAAAACGCGTATATTCGTTAGTTGTTTATTTTACGAGTAAACGTTTAAAAATCGTTCAGAAGGCGTATTTAAGTAAACAGCATATAGAATATATATATATATATATATATATATATATATATATATATATATATATATATATATATATATATATATATATATATATATATGTATATATATATATATATATATATATATATATATATATATATATATATTTTTGAGTTATGGTCAGAAAGGAAGCGTGAACTTTCTGGTTAAATGCACTTCCGCGGTGCTCTTTGACAAGACCTAACGGTCTTGTCAAAGAGCACCGCGGAAGTGCATTTAACCAGAAAGTTCACGCTTCCTTTCTGACCATAACTCAAAAAAAATGGCCATGGCTCGTTTCGAGCCTGGATCTCCTGCTTATAAAGCAAGCTCTCTAATCACTGCGCCACGACCGCATAAATAATTTTCGCATAAATTGCTCCGACTAAGTTAAATAAATTTAAATTACAAATTTTATTAAAAAAAAATTAAACTTTTTGTTAAACATTTAGCATAAACAATATACCTAAACTTTTTGCTTTTGCTATAGCTGTATTTATTCTTAATTACTAATTATTGTAAATAAAATGATAACACCAACAATACTTCAAATTTTTAGTTTGTAGCAAATCTAACTAAAAAAGTGATTTAATGAATTATAAACTAATGTTGAAAGGAGCTTAATGCTTTTTTATATAGTTTTTTGTTGTTGTTTTTTCTGACTCTTTCCAAAATCTCCAGTTTTTATGCTCTCACTCTGATTCCCTAAGTTTTCCCTCAAAAAATAAGTTATAAAAGTAAAAATGATACTAATAAACTCATTTTTTTCTATCATTTTCAGATCAGAAAACGTATAAAGCAAACACCGTCAATAGTAGTGCATATGCTTAAGATGTACTTGATTTCGTTTAAAAACATTTACAAACATTACAATAATGATAAGAAACTTTGTAAATGTTTTAACACGGATGTTTTAAAATTTTGAAATAAAATGATGATTACAGCACAAAAACTAGATTTTATAAAAATCATATTGTCACCTACGCAACTTGCAGCTACGCAACATACAAATTTAAATTCTAAAGAAAAAAACAAAACAAATCTAATATTAGCTTTTTAGTGTTTAGATGTAACAAAAAATTTCCCTAAGATATTGAATTTCTAGATTTGTTCACCATCTGTAAATTTGTTAGGGGATTGTTCTTTTTTATAAACTTACTTTTCAGATGTTGGTAAATATAATGGCGGCAACCTAGGGCTTGAGGATAAATCATTATTACCTCTGTATATAATAATTAAAAGATTCTTTTATATTATGTAATTTGGTGCGGCATTACAGCAATTTAATTAATTTTAAAATTTGGTAATGCGATAAATTTCGATTTTCAGAAAAGAACTCGGTGGCGCTTAGTTGAGAATCTGATATTTAGTTAGATAATTTCAATGCTATCATTTTTATAGAGAAAGTTGCTGGACAATTTATCATGAGTTGCTTTTTATTGAAAAATTGAGTGCGTTTTTGATGCGATTTTTAATCGCTTTTTATCGCATAATCGAAAAAAATCGCCACTGCTTAGTTTTAATCGAATGCTTTTCTTCCAAAATTTTCATTTTAATTTTTTTATGCGTGAAAATAAAATTAAGATTGTTTATTCTTTGTTAACCTTTTCGATGTTTTTACGATTTTGTTCGTGGTTTCTGACCCCTCAAAACGTCTCAAATAATTTGAATTAGATCAACAGTTTATCAAACAGACTATAAGCTGTACATTTTACGGAAAAGATATCAAAACAGCTTGTTTTGATATCTTTCCCTTATTTTTCAATTTAAGGGTCATTCCATATAGTCGTGGTCGTTACATTTCTACTGCAAAAGATGAAAATATAAGCATGGAACTTAATAAACCTTTTTTTTGGTAATGTGTGCATTTGGTCACGTACTACCTTCTGAAAAATTTACAGTAAATTTTATGCTACAGTTGCATCGTTATGTCAAAATAAAATTAGTCGCGGTCATGACAGCTGCAAAAACAGAAACAGAACTTAAGTAATTTTGTTTTTTTGTAAAAAACTTCCATCAAATTAAAAATTTAATCTTTTTAATTATTTTTTATAGGATGTTATATTAACTATAACACAATTTTTTTATTTTATTGTTCGTGTTTTACATAAAATGGTAGCTATCAAAAAGTCGCTGTCGTGACTTCGCGGTCGTTACAAAATATTGTACTATCAGATAACGTTACATTTTAGGTATTTTTAATGTAGAGGAAAGTCGGGTAGCCCCGCACGGCGGGTAACTCCAGACACTTGATGTACAGCTTAAACTAAAGAAGCTATTTGACTTTTAATACTAGAATAACATAATTTGAGTAAAAATATGGCATATGCAAAATATCTATCATAAAATGTCGAAGCGAATGACTGGGAGGGCAAGATTTTGTTTCCCACCACCAGAAAAGCGACGTATCATCATATTTGATTCACATATTAATATACCTATTTTTTATGTAAACTAATAACTTTTTAATGATTAAAGATATACTTTTATTTACAATAGTTATTAAAAAAAAAATTGTTAAAAACTTTAATTCACTGGTTTTAAAACTAGTATTTGTGAATGAGGTTTGATCGGGTGGTATCGGACACATGTTTGGAGGGTGGCTCCGGACAACTTAATTTGTTTACATATTAATAATAAACAACTTTTTTTATATAAATATTAATACATTTAGTATAGTACACAAACCTATAACAGTAATTCATTTATTTCCAATAAAAAAACATTAGATTTGAAAAAAGTGTTTTTAAAGTGTTTATTTTCATTAAAAGCTTATGTTTATATTTTTAAATGATGACATTTTCATTCTCATTCTATATATATTAGAGGCAATTTTGAGAAGCGATTTTTTTAAAAATGTGTCAAGAACAGTCCAATGCTAAATTATTATATATTCATGAATTAGACAACAGCAGATTTCAAGAGGCGTCTCTGAATATGTGAATATTTGAGCTGCACAAAACGCAAAAATATTTGGAAAATTTTATCTCGCTACCATATTCTTCTGCGTACAGGGCATAACATTCCCTTGACTTCTGCGTACAGAGCATAACATTCCCTTGCGTACAGGGCATAACGACCCTACTCATATTTATGCGTCGAGGTAGAAAATTCTATCGGAATTTAGTTGGGTCGGAATAATTTCGAAATAATCTTATAAGATCTTTTGGTTGTATGGTAATTTAAGATCTTATATAAGTAATTTGTTGTGCTATATGTTAGTGGGGTGCAGAATTATGACCTCACCTGTATAGAAACTTTAAACTATCTTTTAAAGTTTTTTGATCAAATGCTATTTGTTGATCATTTTTTAAAATAAACAAAATAATTTTCATGAATCTATTTATACTTTAATTGACTCAAATTATAAAACTGTTAAAAAACGCGGTGCACAATTATAACCTCGTTATCTAAATTGAATCAAAAGCCATCAAAAATAGCAGTAAATTCTTTTTTTAAATTAAATTTGTTACATTTTAAAATTATAAAATACATTTTAACTAATGCCAAGACGAGTTACACTCTTAATTATCTCGATGAAGAAAATGCCAAGATCGAAGCCTACAGGCCATTGGGTTTATCAAACAGGAAAATTTCTTGCAAAATGAGACGCTTGCTACCTTTAATCGATAATTTCATAAAGGATCCAAAAATATATAGCACAAACCATCGAAGTGGTAGAATATCTATACTTACAGCTGACCAATTCTGCATGCCGCTAGTAACCGTACAATCTCCGCGAGACAAATAGGTGGTAATTTGGGATTGAAATGTTTATAATGAACGATGAATTGTGCAATTAACAAGTTAGACGTTTTTAGATATGCAAAAAAACGCACATCTCCAGTACAAACTAAAGCACACAAACGCATTTGTTTTCAATGGACAAGGACCACATGACTTGGGAAAAAGAATGGCAAAAAATTGCATGGTCCAATGAAAAAAAATTCAATCTTGATGGTCCGGATAGGTGCAATTGGCATGACATTAGAAAAGAGAAAATATTTTCAAAAGTAAGGGCTATGGGAGGTGGAGGAGTAATGATTTGAGGTGCGTTCAATTATTTGGAAAAAACTTCGATTGACTTTATTACTACAAAATTAAATGCTGAAGGATATAGAAATTTGTTGAATGGTTATTTGAATGATATTTCGCAAAAATTTGGTAACACCAATTTTATTTTCCAGCATAGTAATGCTCCAATTCATAGAGCAAAGTCAAATATCTCATGGTTTACTAGCAAGAAAATTCAATTATTAGAATGGTCAGCTCTCTCACCTGATTTAAATCTTATCGAAAATTTATGGGGCATCTTAGCAAGATGTGTTTATGCAGGATGGATACAACATTCGAATGTCAATGAATTGAAAAAGGCATTTGTACATGTTTGGAAGAACATATCTTTTGCGGATGTTAGAAAACATTTTGAAAGTATACTAAATCGAATATTTGAGGTTATTCAGAATGGTGGTAATAAAACAAAGTATTAACAACAAATTCAAATTGCAATACAAAACATTATGGAATTTTGTAGATTAAAATTGAAATGAGGTTATGATTTTGCGCCATCATTTTTCTAAAATTTTCAAGTCAATTATAAAAATAAAACCAGACTCAATGTCTAACTTGATCATTATTTGATTTGTAATAACAAATCAAATAATGATCAAGTTAGACATTAAACAATTTTTTTTTTTTTTTTATATAACTTCTTTGCTTCCAACAAGGCTGCAAGCAACAACTAATTAGTGTTGGAAGTTACTGGAAGAGAAAAGATGAAGATTGTAGAGCAAGATAACGATTGACAGACGACTTAAAAGATTGCAAATTATATGAATCAGGAAAGCAAGATGAAGGAAGCGAATTCCAAAGAACTGGTGTTCGAGAAAAAAAACTAGACGAATAAGAGTTTTTGGAGCACTTAGGAACAGTAACAGAAAAAGGATGAGACTTAATTGAATGACGAGTAACACGAGAATGAATTTTTGAAGATGGCACAAGAGACCCTAGCTCTTTAGAGCAGTGCTCATTATAGTATTTGTAGAAAAGAGAAAGAGAAGCAACATTACGACGATGTGACAGAGGTTGAAGGTTGGCTGCAAGAGCAGGTCCAACTATGTTTACAATGCGTTTTTGCACCTTGTCTAAAAGAGAAAGGGCATCATTAGAAGATCCATCCTAGATATGGAAACACTATTCCATACAAGGCCGGATTTGAGATTTATAGAGATAGAGAATAGAATCCAGAGTAAGAAAGTGACGATCTCGATAAAGAGAAGCAACTTTAGCAGATTCTAATTTTGCAACGGATTTGATATATGGTTTCCAAGAAAGATCAGAAGTAAAAGTTAATCCTAGAAGATGAAGGGTAGGAGACTCATTGAGTACATTACCATTCATAAATATAGGAATGTCTAAATTATTGCGATAACGATTGGCTGAAAAAAAATTTTTTCTGACAATTTAATTAGACAATTTAAAAATAATTACTTAATTATTTTGAATTTTGGGTGAGGTTATAAATTTGCACCGCACTCTATAATGTTGATATGAGCACTATTATTTTATTTTAAAAATTTAGATAATGATATAACAGTGCTCATATTAACAGTATATGTGATACATATAGTGTATAGTACAATAAATTACTTATGCAAGACTTCGATAATGCAACAATAATTGAAAGTTATAAAAAAATAAAGTATTACAGATAAGATAGAATAATACTCATAAAAATTTGATAGACTAAATTTTTTTTCTGTTGCTTACAAATTACATACAATATTATTACATATATGAGCATTACAAATTACAAGTACAAGTCAACTTAGACTAGATTGATCCTCAGTGAGTGATAAAACTCTACAATATAAAACTAGGCACAGTTTAACTGTTTAAATATTTACGTTTTAGATCAAGTTCCATCTGATTGGAATCGTTTACAGCTGTGTCAACAAAGTATTTTGCAATGGCTTTTTTAATTTTTCTACAACTATACGAAATTGTTTCGGGTATCTTTCTTTAACGTTTTCACCAGTATAATTTATTTTTGAATCGACTTAAATTTTCTGTACCGAGTTATTTTATGCAAAATTAATATCGTTTTATGGCAGTTCGTAACCAACAATGATGTATAGATCAACACTCTCCTGAATCTATAGTTTAAAGAAAGAAAAATGATTACATTTATTTTTATTCAACTATTATTAATAACTACACAAGACTAAGACTAAAACTGAATAGCCTTTACTCTTTAGCATTGTTGAAGACTATACAGGAAAAACCAGTTTCACAAATTTGTGCACCTCGTGGAATTAATTTGTGTATTTGCGTCCTTTTCATCATGCACTGGTGTTTATCATTTCTGTCATTATACAAAAAAACCTAGTAGACACAGCTGAGATGTTTGAATATAACTAAAAATACAGAAACTAACTATCAGTCATATATAACTAACAATACAGAAACCAACTAACAGTCATATATAACATATATAAGACTAAAGTAATCAACCACAAAATGCAATTTTTATAATAAATAAAAATATAAACATATGTGGGTTTTTTAGGCTCTGTAGTCTTTGAACAAATAGAATATTTAATAACTTACAACTACTTCTATACTTCTCCAAGTGTTCCAGGGTGTAGAAGATCTTATTTTCCTTAAAAAAAATGCAATAAGTACAATAACTTCTTGATATTATTTAAATATAACCTGAAAATCAAGTATTGCTTTTTTTTTTTTAAATATAAAATATGATTATTTAAAATTGATTGCAATTGCACAGTTGTTAGGGTATGGGCAATGTAATTTTTCTTATACAACTAAAGTTCAATATAATAAGTTAATCTTAACCCTAGTCTGTAAAATATTATTACTAGGAAAGCATATATTACTTACTATTCTAAAATATTAAAAATGACCAATTTAAGTTTTACACTTTTTTTTCTATCATGTTTTGGCAAACTAAATTGTTCAGAACTTTGCTACACGTAATTATGTCTTGCTTATGGCAACAAGTTTTTTGTAGTTTCGAACCAAGAATTCTAATTCTATCAAAATATGAAAAGTTATTTAGTTTAGTTATACTATTGGCAAAACGTCTATGCATTCTTTCCACTTCTTTTTACATTCTTTTTGCAGTTTGGCGACCAAACATGAGAGCAATATTCTTATGTATGAATCGGCCTTACGTAGGCAGTTTAGTTTTTTATTACAACATATAATTGGCTACTTTTAACTGTCAATTTTTGACTAGAGATAAACTTTATAAATGGGAACAGCAAGATCATGACTGTAATTGGTACCTTAAATGTACTATATACCTTGATATTGTTAGCATATAACATTAGAGTGCAATTATTACCTTTAACTATAGAGGTTAGATCATTAGTATATAACAAGAACAACGTTGGGTCCAAAACACTGTGGAACTACACTGAGGATGCTTCTCAGATTGGATAGTGAATTTTCAACCAGAATCCTTTGGCATCTGTAAGAAAGAAATGCTGATATCTAACGAAGGACGTTATATATTATACCGTACATTGCAAGTTTTTTGAAAAGTTTTGGATGAGATACAGAGTCAAAATCAAATTTAAAATCAATTTACACCATGTCAGTAATTAAATTGCGATCTAAAACTTTATTCCAGTCATTAGTTGACTCTATAAGGTTTGACTTATTTGATCTTTTAAAAAAACTTAAAGGGGCTAATGAGTGGGTGAGGGGGTAGTTTGCGCAAATGACTACTTCCCCCTAAATAATTTTGAGAACTTGTTTATTTTAGATATGAGCATTTTTATTTTAAGATTATTTAAGATTAAGTTTCTATAGAGTGTTTCTAATTTTAACCATTATTTTGGAGAACTAATCTCCCTCGCCCCGTGGAATATATTTTATCAGCGCTTATGTTACAAAGTTAAGTTTCTCTGAAACTACACACCAACACTATACAAAATTTTAATATAATGCACTTTGTGCAAGTATTAAGAAAATAATTTTGGCCACCTTTTTGTGTGTAACAGTTCCACTTTGCATTGTTGCGGTCCATGCGTATCTATGATGTTTATAGTTTTCAAAACCACTTTTAAAGAAACAATCTTTACATTGCTTTCTCCATGAAAGTTTCACGTAAGCTACTTGTGGTTAATACATAAATAAACAATTCTACTGAATAACTCTTATAAAAACCCAGATGCATAACCACATATCATTTAAAAACTGTAAATAGAAAAATATCTTTATAGTTTTATTCACAAATACATACACATGCAAAAGTTTTTAACTTATCTGTTCTATACACCACTAAAATCTTAAGAACTATTTAGAAAAAGTTTATGTACCTAGGGTAGGATTTTTTCAATGCTCAAATTTAAGGCCCCAACCTTGTCTAAAAATGATGAAACTGATATGATCACATCTCCATTCTATTTACTTTGTATATAGGTATAATGACTTAAATTATAAAAGTCCATTATTATTAACTCCGTAATAAATTGACAATAAAGATAAACACATAAATTTGATTAAAAATTTATTAAATCTTAGACTGTTTTCAACAAATTTATCAAGTGTCACTTGATTGCAACTTAGTTATAAGCAAAATTGACTTGAAGACTACGCGTAAAATAATAGTCTTCAAACAACCGCGAGAAAAACAAAATTCTGCACCAATTAAACAAAATACCTCGTTATGAAACTAATCCTTTACGCTCATATGACCCTAGATACTAGAAAACTATAAGTAACAAATAATATAATATAGAAAAACTTATAGAAAAGCCTCTCCTTTAAAAAATTCTAAAAAAGTTCAAGATACCAGCGGCAAAAATTTGCTTTAGACTATCAAAAAGCGTTTTCCGATTATAGCCGTAGCAGCAGATGTTTTAATCGTATTTTGGCTTGCCGTAGCAGCAGATGTTTTAATCGTATTATAGCTTGCCGTAGCAGCAGATGTTTTAATCGTATTATAGCTTGCCGTAGCAGCAGATGTTTTAATCGTATTATAGCTTGCCGTAGCAGCAGATGTTTTAATCGTATTATAGCTTGCCGTAGCAGCAGATGTTTTAATCGTATTATAGCTTGCCGTAGCAGCAGATGTTTTAATCGTATTATAGCTTGCCGTAGCAGCAGATGTTTTAATCGTATTATAGCTTGCCGTAGCAGCAGATGTTTTAATCGTATTATAGCTTGCCGTAGCAGCAGATGTTTTAATCGTATTATAGCTTGCCGTAGCAGCAGATGTTTTAATCGTATTATAGCTTGCCGTAGCAGCAGATGTTTTAATCGTATTATAGCTTGCCGTAGCAGCAGATGTTTTAATCGTATTATAGCTTGCCGTAGCAGCAGATGTTTTAATCGTATTATAGCTTGCCGTAGCAGCAGATGTTTTAATCGTATTATAGCTTGCCGTAGCAGCAGATGTTTTAATCGTATTATAGCTTGCCGTAGCAGCAGATGTTTTAATCGTATTATAGCTTGCCGTAGCAGCAGATGTTTTAATCGTATTATAGCTTGCCGTAGCAGCAGATGTTTTAATCGTATTATAGCTTGCCGTAGCAGCAGATGTTTTAATCGTATTATAGCTTGCCGTAGCAGCAGATGTTTTAATCGTATTATAGCTTGCCGTAGCAGCAGATGTTTTAATCGTATTATAGCTTGCCGTAGCAGCAGATGTTTTAATCGTATTATAGCTTGCCGTAGCAGCAGATGTTTTAATCGTATTATAGCTTGCCGTAGCAGCAGATGTTTTAATCGTATTATAGCTTGCCGTAGCAGCAGATGTTTTAATCGTATTATAGCTTGCCGTAGCAGCAGATGTTTTAATCGTATTATAGCTTGCCGTAGCAGCAGATGTTTTAATCGTATTATAGCTTGCCGTAGCAGCAGATGTTTTAATCGTATTATAGCTTGCCGTAGCAGCAGATGTTTTAATCGTATTTTGGCTCTCTGAGAAAATCGAATTAAAAAGTAAAAATTTTTATACACAATTTCCTGATTGAAAATCATTACTTATAACTTTATAGTTTTCAAATAAAGTGGGGTGACCCTAGGTAAAAGGAGACTCTTGATACACGAGCTTCCCCTAAACACGGCGTATTAGGGGAAGCTAATTCCGGTTTTTTTATATTAAGTTATTCAAGTAATATAAAAAAACCGGTAAAAAAACAAATAAAAAAATAATAAAACTTCAATGTAATGTGTTCTTGCGTCTTAAATAAGAAAAATAAGGTTTCCAAAACGACTACGTGACGTAATCGCCGTCGTCTTCATTCAAACCACCTTCATTTGCAGAGCACTGGTGATACTGAATTTCCAAAGACTCTCTCACTTTTCTCTTAAAACAGTCTTCCTCTACTTTAACAGTATTGTTTTTATTCCAGCTAAAGGCACTATGGCAATTTCTGGAATGCCCCGCTACAGCTGAATTTTTCCATTTTCCCTCAAAAGTATGTTTTTGATGTTGGTAAATACGATTTGAAACCTTGAGTTTTGTTTCACCTACTTAAAGTTTTCAACACGAATACTCCAGTTTGTAGACTCCTGGAAAAGAGTTGTTGGGAAATCGAGGCTTATTTTTTTGAGTTATTAATTGTTGAAGGTTTTTTGGTGATTTAAAAACTAGAGTATAGCTAGCATTTTTAAATATCTTTTTTAATTTGATTACTTAATTTTTGCACCCATGGTAGAGAAATATAATTAAGTTGTAGTTTTTTGATGTTATTGTTGTTGTTTTGTTGATTATTTTGCTTATTGTATTTAATTTTTTCAACAATGTTTTGAAGTATTTTTTTTTTATAACCATTTTCTATAAACATTTCTGTAAGAAACTTTAATTCATGATTTATGTTTTCTCTACTGCATAATGCAAAAGCTCTTTGGATAAAACTTTTAAATACACCATAAATTATTTTTGGATCGTGACAAGAATGCGGCTTTATTTGCACATTTGTTATTGCATCTTTGCGATAGATATTAAAAAGATATGTTCCAGATTTGTTATTTGTTTTTGAAACATCAAACGAAAGATCAAGAAAAACATCAAACGAAAGATCAAGAAAATTTATTGTGTGTGAGTCACTTTATTTTTCAACTGTATATTTGATACTTGTGTGTTGGTTGTTTAACAAGTCAAGAAAACGTTCTGATTCTGCCTCATTTTTAAAACGGGAATGGATATCGTCAACATACCTTTTGAATGATTTTACACATATTGGTGGTGTAAGATATTGTGCCTGTATTAAAGCTTTTTCTTCATAATGTTGCAGAAAACTCTCTGCTATTACTACCATTAATGATAAACCTATGGGACCGACATCTTCTAATATATGTATATTGTATCTGAACAGTAAGTTTAGTAATTGCTTAATGATGAAAGTTAAAAAAGATCTACTTCGACATACTCAAAAATTAGCCAAAAAAAAAATACTTCAACAACATAATTTTAATCGAAAAGTTAGATAAACTCATAAAATCGTGTAAAATCAAAAACATACTTTTGAGGGAAAATGGAAAACTTCAGCTGTAGCGGGGCATTCCAGAAATTGCCATGGTGCCTTTAGCTGGAATAAAAACAATACAGTTAAAGTAGAGGAAGACTGTTTTAGAAGAAAAGTGAGAGAGTCTTTGGAAATTCAGTATCACCAGTGCTCTGCAAATGAAGGTGGTTTGAATGAAGACGACGGCGATTACGTCACGTAGTCGTTTTGGAAACCTTATTTTTCTTATTTAAGACGCAAGAACACATTACATTGAAGTTTTATTATTTGTTTATTTGTTTTTTTAACGGGTTTTTTATATTACTTGAATAACGAGGGTATATATAACCCCTAGAAATATTGTATTTTATTATAAAGAAATATATAGGATAAGTTAACACACTATAACAGATGTTTTAAGTTAATTAATTATTGGGGTATACGCTTTGGCAAACTTAGATGGATGGAGTTCAAACAAAAAGAAATTCAGTAACTCTAAGGACATGCATAAAAATTGTTTTAAAAAAGTTCAAGAAAAGAAAAGTTTTATGTGTTCTTTAAAGTGTTTTTTTTTAATGCAACATCTATATGCAATAAATGGGATGACTTTATTGTAAGAATTAAACAGCTTAGTTTTCCGCACATTATAGGCATTACTGACACTTGGTTCAATATTACCTCTGAACGCAATATAGATAATTACACATCCTATTTCAAAAATAGAAGAACTATCAGTGGTGGAGGAATAGTAATTTATAAGTGAAATGATCTATTATCTCATGAGATTGATTTTTTCTATTTAGATAGTGAGCAAATTTGGTGCAAGGTCAGCATTGGTTCAACAGCTATTTTAGTTAGTTGTTTATAATGACACCCTTATGCTTAATATGACCTAAAAAAAATATTTAATGACTTAATAGAGAAGCACATAAATCAGTCGTGGTAAAGAGGTATGTATCGTAAATTTACAGGTAAAGTTACCTGTAAATTTACTCAATTGCAACACAAGTTTACTAAGTCACATTTTTAACATACTAACATTTTACAACATTCGTGTTAATTGCTTCCTTCGTTGTTTTTCCATGAATGACCGAAGTTAGAGTATTTAAAAATTTCACTATTTTTATCAAAAAAAGTAGTTAATTTTTAAAAATTAATAATTTTATTTTGTAAATATAGTTAATTTGGTGATTCTTAATAATGCTAAGATTGAATATAATCATTTGTTTTAATAGTTTGCTTATTTTAGATTTTAATAGTATGCATTTTTTCAAAGTGTTGTTTTGCTAAAGAATTATTTCAGCAGGTTGCATATAAATATATTTTTTTTACAGATTCATATTTACGAACTAATTATAAATAGTATTTGAGAAAAAAAAAATTTGTGAAATTTGAGTTTTTTATGCTTTTTTTTATATTTTTTCTTAAATGACCAAAATTACATGGTGACCGAACTTAGGCGGTTTTACGGTATTACCTTTAATTTAAAATTATACCCAGCTAGCACACTTACACTGGCCAACGTATGTAAAACCATCGCAAACGTTGGCTCTTTTTACCAATGCAAAACCAACGTTGATCCAATGTCATTAGGCTAATGATAAAATTTTTACCGGTGGAACTAAAAACATCTGGCAAATTTACATTTGTTCAATGTATGTAAAAACATCGCTAAAAGGTGATTGTTTTTACGACCTAAACCCAACGTTGATTCAATGTATATATCTCGACATTGATTCAATGTATATAATCAATGTATATAATCAATGTTGATCCAATGTATGTAAATACATTGCAAAAAATTGATTGTTTTTACGATCTAAACCCAACATTGATCCAATGTATATATCTCTATATTGATTCAATGTATATAAATCAACGTTTTTCCAATGCATATGAAAATATCGTAAAAAGTTGATTGTTTTTACGAACTATACCCAACGTTAATCCAATGTATGCAACCAAGATTTGCTATTGCGAAATTATATAACTTAAATCAAACATTTTGCCAATTAAAGTTCAACGTTAAGTCAACGTAAATACAACGTTGTGTCAACTTAAAATACAATGTTTGGCGAACGTATAAAATAAAACGTTGAATTAACGTAGAAAATATAATCTTTTTCCGACTTTAATGAAACGTTTTATCAACATTGGTTTTTAGTTGTTGGCGACGTCGTATTTGTAACCATAATGATATAAAAACAACGTTGGCAGCCAATGTTGGACCATAGTTCTAATATTTTAACACGTGTGTGTGCTAGCTGGGTAAGGATCAAAATATGATGTTTCCATTGCGTTCATTTAAGTTTCTTCAATAATATTTAAATTAATCCTCAAAAAGATCAAAATTTAAAGTTTTAAAATTTTCGTTAATTAAAAAGTTTTCAGCCAGTATAAAAATAAAATAAGAGCTTTTTCAAGAACTCATAAAATAATATTACTTTTTTTTAAATAGTTGGCAAAATTTTAACTATATATATATTTTTTTGCCTAAATTCGTGTACTATTAATTTTTTATATAGAACCTTTGCATAATTTCCATTTTGCCTATGAGTATATATATATATATATATATATATATATATATATATATATATATATATATATATATATATATATATATATATATATATATATATATATATATATATATATATATATATATATATATATGTTAGTACCTTTTTTTCGCTTTTTCCATAATTAACGCTTTATCTTAAAAGTCTCGCAACTTCAGCACAATCGTTCGCTTGCGTTCAGAACCACCATTACCAACTCGATGAGCAAAATTAACAAAGAAAGTTAGAGCAAAAGTTAAAAGAAATCATGTTAGAAAGATAACATAGAGAAAGACCGACAGAAAATTGCACTGGATGTTAGAATGTGCAATTTATAATAATAATTAGATTACCTAATTGTTTATACCTAATATTTTGTTTGTATGTATGTGTGTATGTATGTAATATGTATGACTATGTTTTATGTATATATATCTAGTGCCGTGGCAAGTGAGTTTAGGACCCCCCCCCCAAAAAAAAAAAAAAAAAAACAACAACAAAAAAACAAAAAACTATTACTTTGGGCCTCATCTTTTTATTTATTTATTCTAAAAAAGTGGATAAAATTTACAGACTACCCCGAAAAGAAGGGTACCTGACATATTTTAACGTCGCCGTTCATAAGACTAAAAACAATCAAATTAACGCTTAAATTCAATTCAATATATTTAATAGTTGTTAAATTGATTCCTTCTTGTTAACTATGATGAATCGTTTTAACTCCATTTCTAAATCCTCAAAATCAATATCACCAAGCTTCATTTGCAAACTTTTGCAATATATAGACAAAGAATTTTCATTACAGGCTTTGATAAGACTTTCAGATTGGTAAAGAAAGTCATTAACCTTTGTGACAATGCTGATCTGTTCAAAACGCTCTTTTACTGATGCAATTGACATATCAATTAATGGCACACAAAAAAATGCTTTATACTGATATTCAGGTTACCGAGTGTGATCAACAGACTCGTATGAATAATTCAACATTTTTTATAAACGTATTATTGCTATAACCTTTTAAATGCCCAATACTTCTGCGATTTCTGATGCCTTAATACGTACGTCCGAAAATTCATTTTTGCAATACTCATAAAGAAATGCATTTATTGCCTTTATTTCACTATAGTGAAACATCTCTCAATAACATCTCTCATAACATCTCTCAATAACATCTCTCATAACATCTCTCTCGACATGTTAGCTATAGCTAACATGTCGAGAGAGATTGCAGAAGACTTGATTTGTTAATTTGAAATAAAACATCATACCAAATAATGATTGATAATAAAAAACGTCATGTTCTAATAATTCCGTGAGCGATCGTACTTCTGTGGCTGTAGCCCTATTTCTCTTCTAAGCCATATTCTTCCAAACTTTCGAGTGCCTCTTAGATTTCTTTTAAATAACAGTTAAGTGGTTTAACACAGTTTATTTTACTTTTTCATCTGGTATCTGGTTGTGGTTTGACAGAAATAACCACGCACAATTTTAAAATTTCCCATCGAAGAGGGGAAAATAAAAAGAGTGTATATAATCTTGAAAGAACACCAAAAAACAAAATTGCACTGATAGATAACCAATGCTCATTTGTTCTTCATGCAAAATGCATGGCGTACAATTTAAAATTAAAGAATAATATTTTGCTTTTTTTACCTTAGACAGGTTTTTGGATTCAGTCTCCTCCTCAAACCTCGTTCTGTGTGTCATTGCTCAAATAGTGCTCCTTGGTTTCTTTATACTAAATTCTTTGCATAAGAACATTGAGAACGGTATTGTACTTAGCCAGTAATTCAAACACCCCAAGAAAGTTTCTAATGCTCTTTGAACCAATGGCTGTGTCTGAACCACGGAATTCAAGATTTCTTGTAGAAAGAAATAAGGTAATGTCCAGTATCCTTTCTAACACTGCACTGCATTGACAAGCAACTTTTGTTGTTGCTCGTCTATGGAAGCTTGATTCGCAATGCCTGCATTACCAAAATTGAGGGAAAAAAATTAATTAGGAAAAAAAAGTAACAAAGCAATAAATTAAAAGAAATATGAGTTTACCTTTTCGTTAAGTCATCCAGTGTTCAAAGTACTTAAAATGTGTACTGCATGTTTCGTGTTCTCTAAGTTTTTTTGATAAGCCTTCCCAAAGATTTATTACTTGTCGGATTGGTGAAGAAGTTATCCAAAAAAGTTAGCAACAAAAACAAAATACTTTATTACTCTTCAAAGAATATACGAACCATGTCCGTTCAAAGATTTCTCCATTCTTCACTTTGCTGTTATAATAATTCAGTGAAAATTGTCTGGAAAATCAATTTCAATCTTTTTAAAACCACGTTTAACAATGTCACACCTCTGTGTGTCAGAAACATCATCAGGCAACTCAGAAGGATCATCACTGAGAAAAATAGACGGAATTGTTATGCCATTTGATGTAGACTCACATATCAACCTACCTGAGTCTAGTATTCAAATAATGACAATCAGAATTATTTGTAGTTTCTGTTGTTGTCGAAACACTTCGAGGCTAAACTGCTGGTTTTAAAAAGTGTGTTAGTTTGGGGTATTTTTTGATTTCCTCTCAGGCTGACTTAACGAAAGATATATATAAACTTTTGCAAACCTTCTTTCATTGTTTATTTTTATGATATAAAAACTAACAACGCATAATAATAATAAAAAAATTAATTCGAAATTGCAAAACAAAAGTAATGAATTTATAAAGCTTGCGTTTTATAATATAATTCGGACCTCGGGAGTGTTAATTTTTTTTTTTTTTTTTTTTTTTTGCATTAAAAACGTTACTGCTTTTTTTACGCATCGAAAAATTCGACAAGACAATCAAGATATACAGAGAAGAAGATGTAAAACAAAGAAAAACGACTCAATTATGGGTTCTGCCATATCTAAAGTTAATTTATTAAAACTTCAAAAACTATTTTTAATAATAAGAAACTCTTTTGTATGAGTTTAAATCAACTTTTTATCAACTCTAACTTTTGCGGTTTTCATGACAAGACCTTTCTGAGTTTCCGCCTTTTTATTTTCATTTAATTTCTCTCATTAATCTAAAATAATCTTTAATGGTAAACTTTGCTTTTTTTAGTTTCTATATATTTGTATAAAAATTATAATGTTAAAGAACAACATCAACAAAAATGTTCTTCTACTTTATACAGTATTTTTCGAACAGCCACAAACATTCCGTTTATCCGGCGCACGGTTAATTCATCTCAAAATAAAAACAACTTGTTTCATTAAATAATTTTGAGATCCAAGTGAAATCTTGAGTAAACTTAAAAACATAAATGTTTTGAAAAAATAAAACTTAGAAACTTATAAAGAAATAAGAAATTAAAAATAAAATATTTTATTTTATACATATATTATTTAAATGTATATATTTATTAAACTATTCGATGCATGTACGTTATGAACTGGTTTATATAGTATAGACTATAAATTGCATTTAGTTAATACATATATTTATAAAATATTTTATAGTTTATTAATAAATGTATTAAATATCTCAATTTTTTATAGTTTAGAAAATTATAAATATTTTTGCTTTTTTATTTCAAGAAAATAGTATATAAAAATTTGCTGATTGTTAAGAAATAAAATTTTTAACTAAAAAGTGAGTTAAAATGATATTTTAAATGTCGAATTTGTTATTTTTCAATTTTTTATTTTAAAATAATATATCAAAGAACATAAAGCATACTTAAAATACTCACATGAAACTTGACTTTGTATTGAACTTTCTGAGTTGTGAGAAATTTATCCTTTGAGAAATACACACTTACATGTATATATATATATATATATATATATATATATATATATATATATATATATATATATATATATATATATATATATATATATATATATATATATATATATATATATATATATATATATATATATATATATATATATATATATATATATATATATATATATATATATATATATTATATATATATATATATATATGTGTGTGTGTGTGTGTGTGTGTATGTGTGTGTGTGTGAGAGAGAGAGAGATTTTATTACATGTTTGCTTTTATTATATTTTGTGTTTAAATAATATATTTATGATATTATTTTTTATAGTTTTGAAATTAATTGAAACTATATTGTTATTAACATGCAATAATTTTTAAATGCTGATATTTTATTTTAGGGTTATTGACATTACCAAAATATTTTTGACATGAATAATGGATTTGGAACAATGGAGGTTTGAATTTAGATAATGCACCATTACAGTAACTAATTATTATCGCATAAGGATGTTTTGTTTGTGGCATAAATTACAATACTCCTTTGAACAAATCATTGACCTTTTTCCCTTAAATTTATAATGTAGCAAAAGCTACAAAAAAAAGACTTGTAAATAAAATTTCTAAAGCAGTATGTATACAGGAAGCATACACTTTGTAAGGAACAGGAAAATGGCAATCAAAAACATAAATCAAAGGTTTTAGGTTATAGGTTATAGTTTTATAGATTCTCTGTATTGTTCTTTATATAGATTTTGCGGTAAGGGGGTTGTGGTGGTGCAAAATTGTATCTTGTACATTAGTTTGAAGTTGCTATTTTTTTAGCCTGATATCTCTCATAGTTTAATAATATCTCATATTACTCTCATTTAGCAGGTTTAAAATAGCTTAAATTACTTTTATAATTTACAGCTAAAGTTATAATTTAAAGCCTAAGTTGCAGTTAAAATCTAATGTGCAGGTAATGCATTTAATACTATCATAATATTACTTATAGTTATTATTTATTTAATTAACAAGATACTTATAAAAAGGTAAAAGTTAAGACACAAATATTACAATTTTCAAACCATTTTTAGCAGATATAAAAAACTATTTAACCCTGTTTATCCAGACAATAAAACATGTTTTATTTTTAAAGCATATTTAATTGTTTTGTAAAAAGCTGTATAAAACAATAATAAAACAATACTGCAAAACTATTTTTTTACTTAATTTATGGACGATCACATAAAGTATTAACACTTTTCAAACAAAAAAATTGATCATTACAATAAAAAAATAGTGTTTAAAAACTTGAAAAAAAGTTTAAAATAGGCTTCTAAACATTTTGTTAAAAAAGTTCAGAAAATTAACAATGCATTAGTCCACAAGCTTTTGGAGTATTGTCAATAATAATAGTTCAATACAGGAAATAAACTATCGGGTTTAAATACTCAATTTGGATAATCCAAAAAAAGTGCAGACTATTTCAATGGGGGTATTGAAAGCAACCAGTTATTTTATATTTAAATATTTATTTATTTATGCTTCTTGAGATTCAACACCATGTTGAATCTTTTATGAGCCTATTCTAATTATAGTTTCAAAATATTCATAGAGATCAGAGTTTCATAATATCCATATGTTTATCAAGCTTGTTCTTGAAGTTTTTTACACTTTTGGCGGAAATTATATTTTCTGTTTATTTCACCATTTTGCAACTATGTTTGTCAGAAAGTTTTCCCTTGATCTGTTTATTTTTATTAGCTCAATATCTATGCATGCTTTAAGTCCTCTAATGTTTGCAGCTGGGCCATTTGCTGAAATAGAAGTTACACCAATGTCTTTTTCATTAGTTGTTGATTTTAATTTAGAATCTTTTATATAATATTCAAAATTCTTATTATGTTTTTGAAAATGTATGATTTTACATTTATTGATGTTGAAAATTAAAACCCATCCATTTGTTAGACCATTCAGTTAGATTATTAATATCATCTTGCAAGCTTTTCGAATCTACCTGGTTGTTAACTACAGCAATATTTTTGTTATCATCGGCATAAAGTTTGCATATATTAATTTTAGACGGTAAATCATTGATATATAACAAGAACAATAATGGTCCAAGTACAGAACCTTGCAGAACATCGGTATGTTATAAAATCTAAGGATTCTAATAAATTTGTTATACAGTTTTTACCTTTTAAGAAGCCATGTTGTTGAATACAAAAAAGATTATTGGTTTTAAATAATTTTTTAAGCTATCACTTATAATTTTTTCTAATACTTTGCAAGGTATGGATATCAAAGATACTGCTCAATAATTTATTGCTAGCATTTTACTTCCATTTTTAAATATGGGACTTACATTAGCCATTTTCCAGAGATCAGGAAGATTACTATTGATTAAACTTTATTGATAGATGATTGAAAGTGGTATTGAAAAACATTCAGAGCAGATTTTTAACACATAAAGATTTACTTTGTCATACCCACTAGTCATCTTTATGTCTAATTTTGACAAATATGAATTCACAAGTGCTTAATCAACAACTATTTTTCCAAACTTGCTATTGGTTCATACTTCAAAATTACAACCATTTGTATTTTCTTCTTTTATGTAAACAAAGTGAAGAAACTTGTTTAAAATGTCAACAATACTAGGCTTGTCATACATTGTTGAGCCAGTATTATCATTAAGTGCTCTTATATGATTTTTTACTGAGTTTATTTTAACTGAGTTATTTATTTGCTTTAGAATGTTTCTTTTCATTTTATAATATTTTTCTTTTGAGCTATGGACCAATTCATGTAACATAATCCAACATTTTTTACAGAGGCATGATCCATGTGCACCCTACACCAAGGTTTATTTTCACTAGGCCTTGTATGTATTGTTCTTTCATTTCTTACTTAAATCTCAGCACATGGTTCACAATTTTTTACATATTCTTCCACATCTTGACAATAACCAGGCCAACAGGCTTCTAATTTTAATCTACAACGAGTCTGCATAATGCCACAATGTATGTCATCATGGATTGATTGAATAATTCTCCTTCTCAATGTCTTTGGAGGTACAATAAGGTCACCATTACAAACAGTTCCTTTTTCAATAGTCAGTTTATCCTTGTTCAATTTGTAAGGTCTTTCTGCCACAGTACATCTGCTCCAATCATTTTTACAAATTCTGCTTTTAATATCCATCAATAGTCTATCATTTTCTGTTTCATTTATAATCTGATCAAGGTTCACAATTTCTGATTCAACTAAGTCTCTTGAATATTCTCTTCATCTTGTGATAGAAAAGACAATCATGATAATGCATCTGCATGAGGAATATTTTTTTTATAGCTAATATCACAGTCAAAGGCCATCATTTGCAGGGCCCACCTTAAAATTCTGGCAGAAGTCACTTTAGGTAGTTCTTTGTTAGAATCAAATATGAACTCCAATGGTCTGTGGTCTGATATAAGCTTAAATCTTTTACCAATCAGAAAATACCTAGCTCTGTTAGTAGACCACACTATAGCCAGCACTTTTCTCTCTATGTTAGAATATCTTGTTTCTGCATCAGACACAGATCGTGAAAGAAAAAGAACAGGGTGACCATCTTGTGATAATATACCAGATATTGCTTTTTCACTAGCATCAGTTGTTAATTCTAGATCTTTATTGATGTTGTAAATTTTACCACTTGCTCTTCAGAAAAGTTCTTTTTTAGCAATTCAAATGCACTTTGATGTTCTTTTTTCCACTCAAAGACAACTCCTTTCCTCCTTAAATTACGGTAAAATCTTTTCAGCATATCTTTCAATATGTTGACCATAAAAGTTTACTAATCCTATAAATGCTTCAAATTCTTTTTTATCATTGGGAAGACTGATTTAAAATATTTTGTTAACTAAATTATGATCTGGAGTAACTTCTTTCTCAGATAGCTCATATCCTAGAAATGAGAGGCTTTTTGTTTCTATTACTGATTTTCTTTTATATATGATCATCCTTGATTCTTCCAATTTATTTAAAATTTTCATTAAATTACTTTTTAGTTCTTCAGCATTTTTACCACTAACGCATGTATCATCTTGAAATATAATCATATTAGGAATAATGTTTCCAAAAATAGATTCTATTGCTCTTTGAAAGATAGCACTCGCAGTTTTTTTTCCAAAAGGCAAGCATGTCTTAACAATCTGATAGGTGTGTTAATTGTTGTTATTTCCTGTGCATCTTTGTCCATCTCAATTTGGTGATATGCTCCCTTGAGATCAATCTTGGCGAAGTACTTCATTCCTGCCATCTTATCAAATACATTCTCAACATTTGGAATAGGGTATGAATCTGAACAAATCTTTTGATTAACTCCTATTTTGTAATCGGCACATATACATAGTTTTTTATATTGTTTTCTGACAACAACAAGTGGTAAAGCCCATTTGCTCCCACCAGGTGGAACTTTTTTGAGCAATCCTTGTTGTATCATTACATTAATTTATATTTATTAATATATTTATTACTAATGGTTGTATATGAATTGGAAGGGGTCAAGATTCAAAATAACTTGGTTGCATTCCATTTTTTATTATTATATTTGCTTTATAGTTTACTAAGCGTCCACTAACAAAAGGTTCTACACTGTTAAATAAGTTTGTTGCATTAATTTGTTGCAACTCACTTGGTTACACACCAGCTGGGGAAGCTCACTGCCTACTTATTGGCTCATTTGCTATAAACAACGCTTGTGTTAAAAAAGAACAAAAAAGATTTATCTGGAGCAAGGCTAATTATGAAGCAATATCAACGCTAATCACATCATTTGACTGGGTGGCAATTTTCAATTTCCATTCAGCAAATGACAATGATCAGTTGTTCATTGAAAAAATTAACAAGGCCGTCATCCTTTACATACCTTCAACTAAAACATTGTTCAAGCAACAAAAACAACCATGGAATATGCCAGAAGTTGAAAAAGCAGTTGAAAAGAAAAGAACCCTTTGGCACAAATATCTTGCAGTTGGTTAATTGACTCACATAGAGATTCGAGAAAAGCATAATGCAGCTTGCAAAGAGTTAAGATTGTAAGATCAGCAGTTGTTAAGTATAAAAATGAATTTACAAACTCTTTTAAAATTAATCCAAAACGGTTTAATAATCAAGTCAAGCAGAACAAATAGCGAATGAAATGTTAAAGTCACTAGAAGACAACAATGGAAATCTTACAATTGATAGTCATGAAATTTCTCATTTACTTAGCGTATATTTTCATTCTGTATTTTTTGTTGAACTGCTACATCAGATGCCAACATTTCAGAACCGAACGGAAACAGAATGTGTCCTGAATGAAGCAAAATTAACAACTATATATGTTCAGAAAAAGCTAGAAGAGCTCATCGAAACAAAGTCAAAAGGCTGCGATAACATACACCCGCATGTTCTTCAACACTGTGCTACTGCAATATCTAAGCCTCTAGCT